CATTTTAAAAATGAGGCTAATAACCAATTCTATCACATTCTGGGAAGATGCATAATTAGTGTTTAAATTTAAAGAAATCTCCACAATTGCCTTTTTGTTCACAAAGACTGGTCCCGTTAATTAATACCAAGTTGAGCAAAATCCAAACATTTATCTCATCCTCGTTTTGTTGGATTCTGAAACTTTTCTGAAAAATAAAATCAGTGAGAGACGCTTTGCTCAAAGGAAGAGTGGAGGGTTTTTATCTGAAAAGGAAATTGCATTTCACGAATGTATAGACCATCGCTTTGAAGTTATTTTGTATCCAACTACCTGTTGGACAACTTTTAAACCTCAGCTTCATTTTTCTTTTTTTTTAAAGCACTGATATGCTTGCCTTCGATATTCCTGAAGGACAAGCTAGAGGGGACAATGAACAGGAAAGCGGGTGTCTTAACTTGTGTTTGAACCATTCTTACTTCCACCTCCGCCACCCTCTCGAGCCACACTCGACCAGGCTGCACAGATGCACTAATCACAGATGAATATATAAGTAGGTAGCTGGGGGCTGAACTGCCGAGGTCACTGTGGGTCGTGGTGATAATTTGCAGTTTTATCTATTAGGGAAGTTATGGGGGAGTTCAGTTGACTGACCATTGAACACTGCTAAGGAAGCCTGTGGGTGGCTTTTCTTTCTGTCTTTGCAGAAATAAACATGACTGTCTAATGAAGTGTCAGGCAGCACACAGAAACACTCCTGTGTGGTGCTGGCGGGCTCCTATGGGAACAGTCCCCGTGAGGGATAGTCACTTCTGCTCCTGCGCCAGCTGCACCCTGCTCCCAGCAGAGCAGGGCTGGAGGACAGAGCAGGCTCCATGGTTCCCTGTGGGGTCTCAGCAACCTTGCTCAGGACGGGCCAGAGCAGAGATACTTCCCTGTGGGCTCTGGGATCAAGCAGACAGGGTTCAGGTCCCAGTCTCTCCTCCTGTTTGCTGAGTTGGGGCAAGTTGATTTGTCTGTAAAAGAGGAACAATAACCTCTTTTCTCGTGGGCTTGCGGGTTAGACAAAATGGTAGGTGTAAGGCGCCTGATATGCAGTAAATACTCGGTAACAGGCAGGAGGGTAACATCCAGAAAAGGCAAATTAACTGAAGAGTGAAGCCCCTGGCAGGAATCGTGGGGGTTAAGTGGACAGTCCAATGTGGATGCCTGAAGTGAGTTTAGGGAGAAGCGAAAAGGCTCAGATGCCAGGCTGAGAAACTTCTGCTTTCCGAGACCAGCTGGCTTAAGGGGATGGAGGCAGGGCATGGGGGCAGTATGGTACAGTGGTGCAGCCCATGATCTCTGGGGCCTGGCAGCCAGGTTCAAAGCCTGGCTCAGTCCAGATTAGCAGGCTGACCTTGAGCAAGTTACCTCATCTCTCTGTGCCTAAGATCTGTGCCTGAAAATGAGACCAGCAGTGGTACCTTAATCTTGTGAATATCAAATGAGGTAATCTACACAATAGGTGTTCATTACAGTTAGCCATCTTTACTAGAATGGCATAATAGCCCCCAGGCTTGATTCCCGCCTTGTGGATGCTAATCGGCATCTCCTGTGACGCTGCCTTGTCCTGTGGAACCCTTTCCGCCTCTCACGGTGCGTTCGCATCCTTGGTGTCATCTCCTCAGGTGATCACTGACCTAAGTAAGCAGGGCCTGTGCTAGGAGCCTGATTTCCTCCTGCCCCAGAGTGTCTGCCAAGGCCAAGTCAGCATTACTGTCTTGACCTGAAGCCAACCAGGAGTTCCTACTGTTATTGGGGCCGTAGGGGAGGGCAATGGGGACAGTTGTGGAACAGGCTCACTTGAGACGTATACCAACCTATATTTTCCCTAAAACTTGGCTCTGTCCCTGGTCACGATGCTCCCTCAACACGCTTGGCAACGTTCAGTTTATCTCGGAAGCGTTGAGGATGTTAGGCCTTTCTCAGAATAATACTGAGGCTTTTTCCTCCAGCCTTAGGCAATCAAAAATTTTCATCATCGGGATAGTTTTGTGGGATTGGGCTGCCTGCAATTTTACTTACACCCAAGATAGATGTGTATTTTCAGAGTTTATAAGCTAAATGGCATTCTCGGGAGCTACAGAAGCTCTACACCCATAAATGTCACTAGACATACATCTTGGGAGGCTGGAAGGCATCTAAGTTGTTCTAGAAGGAACGCTGGTCAAAGAGTAGAGGGTCTGAGGTATAGTCCCAGCTGTGCTACTTTTTGGGCAAGTGACTTAACTTTTCTGGGCCTCAGTTTACTCAGCTGTGGAATGGGGGTCTTGACGGTCATTATCAGAGGTGGTTATAAGGAACTGAATTAAGTGAGGTAGGTAGTGCATGTGAAGGGCTGAGCCTAGTGCTCCACACAAAGCACTCCCTGAATGCCTAGAAAAACCCTGGAAGCATGTTTTTAGTTTAGTGCCTCAAGAATTTCTGAAAGGCATTATCCCAGTGAAACCAGGAGAGTTCCATGTCTTCCCTCATTTCAAGTTCACTGGTTATCCTTGTTTTTTAAAGATAAGTTCTGAAAGGACGCTATAGCCTCATTTTCAAAAGGATTCTATTGGCCACAAGCACCATCAGTCAGTCTTAAACTGAACTCATTCTCTCCCTATAGCTCAGAAGGAAAGGGGGGGCTTTCCAACGAGGGGCAGGACCCCCCTTTCCACAGGTTAAGTTGGTTCACTGGGGGGTCCCAGAGTGCCCACATGTGGTCAGCTTTGGCCATTCAACCTGGCGATGGGGATCAAGGATCCGTTGGAGAATCTGATGGGATCCAGTGAGATCCAGGGACTCTCTCTTACCATGAAAATGGCCAGAATCACATGGTTTTGCAATTTGGGGGCTTGGAGCTGCGAAACCAATCCTCACGTGCTTGGGTCTCTGTAGACTTGAGGTACAAACAGGCTCGTCTGGTATAAAAACCGCACGCAGGCCCCTTTCTGAGTGGTCCCAGTTTAGATCTTTTTTTGGCAGGGACAAATAGCTAGCATGAACAGAGAGAGAATTAGAGGCTGGCATACTCTAGTAGAAGGTAATTCCTTGTTCCTTGGAGGGTGATTTTTATGGCAAAGGATACCTATCCTCTACCTGTATGCCTGCTCTGTGCTCATGGCTCAGAAGGCCCTTCCCACCATTCTGCTCAGAGCTAACTCAGACTCTTTCTTCAAGATCCTCAACTGTCAGCCTCCAAGAAATCTTCCCTGAGTCCTCAGCTTGCACTTGAGTGTCCCATCTCTGTGCCCCGTAGTTGTAAATACAAGTCTGTCATCACATGGCATTGCTTAGTGATTTGTCTGCTCATCTAATGATCCCTCCACCAAACTGTGAAGGCTCAGGTCAGGTTTCATATCTGACTCGGGCCCGTATCCCAGAGCTCAGCATGGGCCTGGTACCTGGAAGGTGCTCCGTAACTGTGGGCTCCCACGGGCCCCTCTGCCAGCGCGTCTGTCTGAAGCCTGAGATCCTCCTGCCCCTTTCCCGGCTCCCGCTGGCACATTGGTGTGTTAGCATCAGCAATCCATCAGAACAAGCTGCTGCTTGACTGACCTGAGCCTGTTTGTAAACTTGGTGCACATTCAGATTAGGGAAACAAATAGGATTAATCAGACGGGCGGCATGCTGTAACTCCAGGACCGGTTACCATTCACAATGAGGCAGCCACGTCAGCGCCTGGCGCGCTCCACTGGTTTCCAGAATGCAAGTAATAGAATTTCTGTAGTTAAGCAGCTGTCACTCTCAGGGCTGGGGATATTCATGGATAAACCCGTAATATAGAAGGGCCATGATGGGTACTTGGCAGAGGGGTTGGGTAAGGCAGGGGTTTCCAGTCCCTAAGGCCAGCTCTGGCCCTGGGACCAAAATTGCCCAAGCACAGAAAATAGCAATTCTGTACTGTTGTTTTTTTTGTTTTTCTTTCTCTCTTTTTTTTTGTTGTTCCTTGGGTCAGAATGCAATTTGCGTGGGAGCAGGGGACAAGCCCATGAATGAATATCGGTCTGTCGTATACTATCAAGTCAAACAGCCACGGTGGATGGAAACAGTCAAGGTAATAATGATTAATAATAATAATAATAATAATAATAATAATAGCAGCAAACATGCACCTAGAGGCTCTGAGGCACCTTCCTAGGATCTGAAGCAATACCTTAGCATGTGTCCAGTGTCGTGTCAGGCCGTGGACATCGTGATCCAGTGGGTGAGCACCTGCTTCTCTCGATTGCCCTTTACCAGCCCAGGGCCTCGCCACCGTGGAATTGTCAGATGGCTGGTCCTCTGTAGACATTACCCAGCCCATCAAACTGTGTCGTTCTGCTCAGCAGTGAGGGTGACACAGCTTGTGAGCAAGTGTGGGGCTAAAAAAGGCCACCTAATGCCTTAAAGATACCCCGTTGGGAGCGTGCCTCAGAGGACGTGGCATTAATCACACACATTCGCGTTACCAGATCACCACGCTAAGCAGAAGGGACACCGTGCATTGGAAGAAAAGTTTGGAATTAATTTGGTGAACAGTGAAGATTGATCACAGCTTTAAATGTCTCCACCTTGTAATTAGTAGCAGGCTTTACTTACCCTGTGCTCTGCACCCAATCTCACGATGTCCACATAGCTGCCTTTTCAGAAACAGCGATTCAAACCTCACAGGTTCTCACCTATGTCTGTGCTCTCCTCAGTGGGTCTCGCTGTACTGTATTCCACTGTCTTCAAAATGATGACCTGCCCCACTTTGGGGTCGGAAAGCTATTAGAATTAGACCAGGGTGGTGGTGTCTTCTCTGGGCTCTCTTGCACCCCAGCTGTACCTCTTTGCTAGCCCTTGTCCCACGGTTGGTATAATTATGTGTCACCTCGTGTGGACCCAAGTCCTTTGAGTTGCAGGGACTTACATTGGCATGGCTGGTGCCTCATGTGACTGCAGCTTGTAGTAACCACTCAGCACTCAAGGAAAGAATGACTTGGACTGCAGCTGCCCATGGAGCTCTCAGTTCTTTTGTTCTGTCTGAAACACACAAATATGGACCTCTTCAGGCTCAAATTTCATTTTTGGAGCAGAAAGTGCCCCCAAAGTATGCATCTGTTTGAATTTTAATGGTCACCTGTACAGTATAAACTTGTCCCTTTTGAAAATCAAAGTGGTTTCCTCACAGGTAGCTAATCTCCTTTGCTTTGGGAGGGAGAGAGAGCTGGAAGCTTTGGCAGGGAGGACAGTCCAGGGCCAGGCCACAGGCGTCTCGCTCAGGGATGCAGCAGACCACCCACTGGACAGTGAAATGGGTGACGAGGAGTGACTATCCTGACTCAGTATCCTTGGAGGCAAAAGCACCTGGACATGTGTCCAGACAAGGATGGTAATGAGCACGAGGATTTACTCAAATAGGAGTTGAGCATTTTTATTAATTTCCATAAATGAGAACCCTCAAGCATATCCCCTAACGACCATTGTTAATTTGCTAAGCCTGGCCACAATTGCCGGAACTCCTGGACTGTGTAAGGAAAATGTGCATTGTGCAGTTTGCAGTACATCAAATCCTCTGCTAAAGTTATGTGATTTTTTTATATCAATTTGGGGAGATTCATTTTCCCTCACTATAATTTACAGACCTCTCTTTTATTGGCTGGGATTGCAATTTGCCAAATGGATTACATTTGGTACTTTATTTTCTCTTCATAGCTAGTTCTTATGTAATTTATTTACAGTTTATCAGGCTTGACGCGTAGGTAATAAATCAACATGCAGCACTCTCAGTGCAATGGCCAGGCGGCCTTTCGGGGTGCGGGGGGCCTGGGGAGGGCAGTGGAACTCATCATGGTCTCCTGACCCTGGTTTCTGCCTGCGGAGGTGGCTGTCCCTATTGAAGACATGCAGAGGATCCACCTGCGATTCATGTTTCGACATCGGTCATCCCTGGAATGTGAGTACCCAATCCCCTGGCGTCTCTGCAGCTCCCCTAAGGCGAGAGGAGGGGGAGAGCTGGGTGGCCCGTGTGGCATTGTCTTTCCTGACCTCACTGTGCCATTTCCAGCCAAAGATAAAGGAGAGAAGAACTTCGCCATGTCCTATGTGAAGCTGATGAAGGAGGACGGGACCACTCTGCACGACGGATGCCATGACTTGGTTGTCCTAAAGGTACCATGAGCTGGCACCAACTCTGCATCGAGAGGGCTGCAGGAAGCGAAGGGGAGATGGCAGCATGGCTTAGTGGCTGACAGCCAGGACCTCAGAATCACACACGCCAGGGCGTACCAGCTGTGTAACCTTGTACAAAATCTTCACATCTCTGGGCCTCCGTTTCCTCCACTCTGATCCCCAGTGAATAATTGTGAGGATTACAGAAGACAGTTCGTGTACACACAAGGGTGGGCACACAGGGCCGTCAGTAAATGGAAGAGACCGTTATTACGCACAGAAAGGGCTGTTGACGCTGAGAGGACCTCTGTGGAACGTGCACAAGGCCAGCACGAAACATTTGAGAGATGCCTCACTGTAGCTAATGGAAAAGTATTAGGCCCAGATCCTGCTGCTGACTAAACCGAGACTCATCTCGCATGTCATACTGAGTCTCACTTTTCTGAAGTGTTGATGGTAATATTTATGACAAGCCAATGAGATGACCCGTGTGAAAGTGTACAGATGTCAGCCATTATTACTTTTGCATCATGAGACTTGGCCTGTCTCAAGCAGTGGGAAGTGTCGACCTTGATCTTAGCTGCATGCTGTCCCACAGCCCTTCTTGTGACAGCAGGACGCCTCTGCTGGCGCCTGGCTGGAGGCAAGAAGGTGGCTGTGAAACAAGGCAAGGCTAGGTGGTCGGCACGGGAATCAAACCCTTGCACATGGCTTTCTCAGCTGTGGAGGCTGAAATTGCTCTTGTGTCTGTGGTCTGCATGGCAAATAGCCTCATCAAAGCTTTGTCACATGGTACTCTTCTCTGAGTCTCTCTGATGTTTCCAGAAACCCCCGCCTTTTTCTTCTGTTCAACCCCCATTTTGTCATTTATGACACATCAAGGGAGTTCTCGGCTTAAAAGCCATTCTTCCCCAACAGACTGGGACCTCATTCTTGGTAAAGGCCCTGCTGTAGCCCGTTTCCAATTTACTCACCTTCCTTAAGCCTCAGTTTCCTCATTTGTAAATTGAGGGTAACAGTATCCACACGAGTAACGATTGTTGTGAGGCCTACATGAGTTGAAGTAAGGCGTATAAGGCATTAAGTGTGGCATCTGGTTCAGAGCGAGGGCTCAGTAAGTGCTAGCTCATGTAATGCCTATCATTCATTTCAGCACGCCAGTGGACTTACGTGTGCACACTCTAGGTGTTCTCTGTGCATTGTGCCATTTAGTCTGCTCAGAATTCCTAGGAAGTAGGTCACGTGGTCAATCCTCAGTTTAATCATGGGAAAAATGAGACACAGAGAGACCAAGGAAGGTATCCAAGGTGACACACACTCATGAATGGCAGAACAGGGTCTAGGTCCCAGAACTCCTGACCCCAGTGTGTTTGCTGCTGTGAACTTCTTTAAGCGAATCCCTTATCTTGCTGGTGTGCATGTACATTAAGATCTTCAAAAATTTAGGATGAATTAAAATGTCCTCTTTGGGAATCTTCAGTTTCCTTTTGCCTTTAATGAAAACCAGAGCCTCCAATGGGTGGATCAACCCCCTTCCCATTGATGTAACCTTGGGTTCTTGCTTGTTTCGTGGGAAAATAGCCCTGCCTTCCCAGCTGATGTTTGTTGCTTCTTGGGTTATATCCCTCACTATTTATGACCCTCTGTACCTTGCAATATGCAGTCAGGTCTGTGTCCCATTGGCTTGGGGAAGTAACCACTTTGCTGTTTCCAGGGGGACAGCAAGAAGATGGAGGACGCCAGTGCTTACCTGACTCTCCCTTCTTATCGACACCATGTGGAGAACAAGGGCTCCACCCTGAGTCGCAGCTCCAGCAGTGTCGGGGGGCTCTCGGTCAGCTCCCGGGACGTGTTCTCCATTTCCACCCTGGTGTGCTCCACAAAGCTCACGCAGAACGGTAAGGGAACCCTCGAGGGTCACGTGCGTATGTGGTGTGTATACATGAAAGTCCTGATATGGACAGTTTAGGCAGTAGTAGTAATTCTGCTTGTATGGACTCTATTTTAGTGGGTCTGCTGGGCTTGTTGAAGTGGCGTATGAAGCCTCAACTGCTGCAGGAGAACTTAGAGAAATTGAAGATTGTGGATGGAGAGGAAGTGGTGAAGGTCAGTGGGGCTTCATTTGGTTTATACTCATCCACCAGAGATGGGACTTTGAATTGAGTGGCGTCAGGGGGGACTTGAAGTGTTGAAGGAAATGGGACAACTTTTTCTCTGACAATGAGATACACTGTGCCCAGTTGCCATGAGAAACCTTTACTGGGGGATCTCGGAGGGTAGGGGAGGGTTTGGTTCCATGATGCTGAATGTTGAGCGGCAGAAAAGTGTGGTTGTGCTCAGTTTCTGGAAATAGATCAGTATGGGTGTAAATCCCAGCTCACCCACTTGCCAGCTTGATGCGATAATATTGTGAATACGACATATTTCACAGGGTTGCTGTGAACATCCAAGGTGGTAATAATTAAAAATTAGTGTGGCCTGTTACACATAGTGCGCTATAATCAAAGCAAAACATACAACACGTGCAAAGTTCAGTAAAAGGTAACTAGTATTTTTGTTGTTATCAATTGCTATAGTGATATGACCTCTCCTGAACTACCTGAACGTTACTGTCAGAAATAAAAAATGTATTCTTGGTTCCTGCCACTTGGAAAGCATTCTGCCTTAACCACGAGAAAGGGAAAAACATCAGGGCTCACATTTTAAGTGACACAAGCAGAAAACAATGCAAGTGTCAGGTGTATTGTTATGTTACATCCACGTGGTGGTGGAGAATACAGTGTCTGAAATTCCTGACTCATGACAGCAGCCGTCCTCTCCTGCACTATGAATTGGGACACGTTTCCCATGGGGTTCTGGTGATGTTTCCATCATGAACTTGGGACAGCTATAAACTCTGAGATTAAACATCTTTATATGGTAGCTCTGTATTTTGAGGCACTATAGGAAATATTAACCCACCTGTTAGGAGGAAGGGGTGTCACATTTTAGTTAATTGTCCATACATGGAGAAGCAATGGTCGAATTCCAGACCAGTGCTTTTAAATGTGCACTGTTGACCCACCTACCTGGTTGAGCAAAAGCAGGGAAGTTTCCCAGACACCTTTTCATAAGGCCTCTCACCCTTGGTCAGCTTAGAGAATTTGTCTGCCTTTCTCTTTCTTTTTTTTCTTTTTTTTAAAAATGTTTGTTATTGATGTATAATATATGTACAGTCAAATATGTACAGAGCACTTATCTGAGAGCACAGTTCAGTGTATTTTTTCACATGGACACACCTATGCACCCACCGCCCAGATGAAGATACAGAACATTTTTAGCATTGCAGTAGATTCCCTCATACTCTTCTCAGTCAGCAACCCACTCGGGGTAGCCACTAAGCTGACTACCCTCATCATTCATGAGTTTTTGCCTGTTCTTGAATTTCATAACAATAGAGTAATAAAAGTGTACATTTTTGTGTCTGCCTTCTCTTACTGTACACAACGCTCATGAGGGCTGTCCTCATCATTACACGGAGAAGTAGTTTGCCTGTTTTCATCACTGTGGATTTTCCTGCAGTGTGAAAATACCGCCATGTTTTCTCCTACGGTGCTGCTGATGGACAGCTGGGTTGCTCCAGGTTCTGGCTCTTGTGAACAAAGCCCCCTGGACCCTTGATCATGGCACGTGGTGGATACGTGCCGTCATTCTCTTGGACGTGCCCTGTGGAGTGGGTTTCTGCGTCACCTGCACGCTTTCTTAATGCGACCTTCATTATTTTGTCCAGTTTCTCCAGGATACTCTGGATGCCCTCTTCAACATCATGATGGAACATTCTCAAAGTAATGAGTATGACATCCTCGTCTTCGATGCTCTGGTAAGAGAGAGGGGACAGGCGTTTAGTCACATTAGACATTAATGTGTGTCTCACTTGAGGGAACACTGAAAACGTATGGCTCTTTTCATGAAGCTTTGGGGGGAATTGTAATGTTAGGCAACCAGACCAAGGAATGAGCTGCTGTTTCCTTGTATTTCTTTCACATTCCTTTGAATGCATGGGCAGGGTGAGTGAAAGGAGAATTTTAAGGGTTGATGTCGGTTTGGCGCGGGTTGAAAGTATATGAAGATGGATACTGTGAGTGATTACTTGGTTTCTCATGAATGCTGGGAGCTGGTCCTTGGCCAGGTTGTGAAGGACCCCAAATGTGTCCCCATTCTCCTTCACCTCCTCCTTCCTCATGGCCTTCAGTTTGCCAGAGTCATTACACTCCTCCTGTCTGCCCAGAGTCTCTATGGTAATGTGCAATCCGCACCTTTCCTCTTTCTACCTTCCCAATGGTCTCTTTCTTCTCTCATTGTCCCAACTGATGTTATCTCAGTGTCAAGTCAAGATAAACATGAGAAATATCTGCATTATCGGTGGCCAATAAAGTGTTAATATGCTACCCCCTGTGTCAGTGACATTTCCATTTTTAAAGAGGTCATGTGAAGACAACTCTAACTTAGTCCAGTGCTTTCCAAGATGGTCTCCTGGAAAGCTAGCCCTAAGAACAGATGCCTCCTGACAAATGATCCTTTGATTAAATAACTTAGAAAAGTGCTGAACATCACACGACCCTCTTGGAATATCATGATGCACTTAGGTGTATTAAAGACTCTGATAAGTCCTGCAGTGAAGAAGGCAGTCTCACAATGATAACCTGAGAATTCTCAAGCTTACCTGTCCATGAAACCCTTTTATGATGCCCCGTAGCATACTTCATAAAAGGCTTTTTAGGAGAAACACTACCTCAATGACAACAATTAAAGATACATCAGTAAACTAATTCCTGGGCCAAAAATTCTGATAGAGGTTCAGTTATGCCTGGCGACTCTGGCTCCCTGCCCTGGATCTGCCAGGAAAAACACCGACCCCTGGCCTCTTTTTCAGATCTACATAATAGGACTCATTGCCGACCGAAAATTCCAGCATTTCAACACTGTTCTGGAGGCTTACATTCAACAGCATTTCAGTGCTACCTTAGCTTACAAGTAAGTAACTGTGCATCTCCTGCTTGACTTGCCAGGATGCCTGGGGCACAAAGAACCTGAGTATTTTCCTTTTGTCACCAGTCTGTGTGAGGTCTTCGTTTTCTGAAAAACCCAATCTGTGCCTGGGTTATTTGGGTTAAATAGAAATATACAGACCCACAGGTTGGGATGAATACTTTATGGTGGCAGAAGTTCGCGGAAGTGTTCCTTCATTCAGTCAACTCTCATTTATGGAGCAGTGCTTGCGATAAACATGGATTCGAAGGCTGGAGAGAAGAAAACTCACAGGCCAAGTAGCTCAGTGTAGCTTGGGTATAGGGAACCAAAAATTAGAGATGGGAGAGGGTGCTGGAAAGGTCGGTGGGGGGCAGCTTGTGAAGGGGTCCTGAGAGGCAGGTCAAGTAGTTTAAGGTGCACCTTGCTGGCAATGAAGACACAAGGAAAATTTCTGAGAAGGGCATTCCATGATAGTACAAGAACATTTGCCATAGGAAGAGAAAGCTGAAAAAGGCATTAACACCATCATTATTCCCACTTATGTTCTGATTGTGACTAGTTTTCCTAGTCAAAAGGTGTTTTTTTGTTTTTTTTTTCTTTTTGCTGGCTTTTTCCAGGCAGGAAGTACTTATTCACTCCCTGTATTAAACATAATTTTTAAGCAGAGTTATTTTTATGGTTGTAAATGAGTGAGTAAGCTTGGCTGTACCACCACTTTTAACCTTTGATTGATTGCCTTATAATTGACTGGGCAAATGAATTACCATGCTGTGGGTTGGGAAGGGATGTATTTTGAAAATATAATCCCTTATGCAGGAAATTGATGACAGTGCTGAAGACTTACTTAGATACCTCCAGCAGAGGGGAGCAGTGTGAGCCGATCCTAAGAACTCTGAAAGCTTTGGAATATGTGTTCAAGTTCATTGTTCGGTCAAGGACATTATTTTCACAGTGAGTACTTGTTATGTAAGAGGGATTGATAAGCTTGGTAACTCCTGTGGGATACAACAGCCTTTGCGTCATTGGACAAACTCTTTTACGAAATTATAACCAGCCGTTGATCAGAAACAACTTAAAAAACCAACTTAGAGAGTTATGAATACGTGATCATTGTTCCCTGCAAGTTCACTTGGGGAAAAAAAAAAGGAATCTTAACACGGTATAGAGTTATGTTTCATCCAATGAACATGATTTGGGGCTCTTCTGTGTCTCATCTCACATTCTTCATTTGATTTGAGATACGGTGAAAACTCTCCAGGAATCTATAATCCACGCAAGTGGAGAGAGCAGAACTCAGGGACTTTGACATTTATTTGGCTCTCAGAGCTGGTGCATGACAGATGAGCTGGTATTTGCAGTTGACCTGCCTGTCCTTGAGATGCTAGTGGCCAGAGAGTAAGCTGACATGCTAGAGTACCTAAGAGACTTGATGTTCGATGGTCAGTATCACACCTATTAGCCCCTGCCATTTTAAAGGGCTTTAGAGATGTAGGCATTTAAATACAACATGCAAAAGAATGATTTCTGTTCCTGAGTATAAAGGCTGGGGATTGGTTATATGTATGCTCAGGTCGCTCATGTGTGATGGGAAATGAGAAAGAACATACAGGGAATGTATTGTTCAGATTCTTATTAGTGCAAATGAAGATGACTCAACTCAAGCTGACTTATGGGGAACTAGGACTTTATTTCACATTGTTGAAAACTCCAGGGGGAAGATTGGCCTCAGGCATGGGAGGATCCAGAGGCTCGTGTCACCCAGATAGCGTCTGTCTCTCTAGATTTCGGCTCTGCTTTTCTTTTGTTGGTTGCCTTCCGAGGAAACTTTTCCAGAGTGGAAGCCATTGCAAACCTCAGGTTTATAGTCTGCTAGCGTAAGCAACCTAGGTCCCTTGTCGTTTCCAGCAAAATCCTATACCAAGAACTGTCTTGGGTCATGTGCTAAGGCCTCAAACAGTGTGACCAGGAAAATTAATATACAGATTGTATAGTTGTGGTCACATGTGCAGCTCTGGAGCGATGGGTTGGGTCAGCCACTTCTGGTGTGCACTCGTTCCGTTGGACAGTCGTTTCACAAAAGAGAATGGGTGTCTGTGATCATCATTTTGATCATGTCAATGGATGGGCTACGACGCTTTATACTTGACACGGCATCTGAAATGGGTAATCATTTGGATTGTCTTAAAACATTTGTTGAGATTTCAGGTGATGAATAGAAAGAGATTAGTGTCTTGAACCGTGTCACAAAACATACGCCATTTAGGTTATTCTAAAAATGAAGTATCTGTTTCAATTCCTCTGCTTTGTCAGTTCATCAAGGCAGAGACTGTGTATTAAACGGTTAGGGGTATTCTTCCAAGTTCAAGAGATACTTGTGAATTATTTGGAAACCAAATAAGAGACGACTGTGGGTTTTTTTAAGGATTGAATTTCTTGGAGGAGTTCAAGGATTCAAACATTGTGATTTCAGATTAATAGGTAGGGATATCTTATTTCATCCTGTGAGTGAGATCTTCAGGTCTATAAGGAGGACATATCCTTTCCATTTATCATATGTTCTGCACAGTTTTTCCTTTTGGTTTATTTATTTTATTTCCCTCCCTCCCTCCCTCCCTCCCTCCTTTCCTTCCTCTTTCCCCATCTTTTCTCTCTTTGTTTCTTCCCTCCACTGGAGCAAAGGGCATTTGTACATTTGTTCTCTTATTCTCAAGGAATGGCGTCTTGCAGAGCCCCTAGCTCTTCATTCAGTGTAAATTCAGTGCTGCTGGAACTCTAAGTGACTTGTGGCTTCTTAAGGAGTGGGGTGATCTGTTATTCCCACTGTATCCCCAGCATAACATATAGAATATCACTGACACTCAAAACATGCCTGTTGGGTGAAGTGCACTTTGGGGGCTAAGAGAAGGCATTTGGTCAGAAGAAATGTCTCTAAGGGAACCCAGGCCTAATCTTGAATCCTTTCTCATGAGCATAAATGCAGGCTGACCTGCAGGGGGGCTTAAGGACCTCCCCTCAGGGAAGTTAGGTTTCCTGTGTCCTGTTCATTTTCTAATCTTTAGCAATGGTTTGCTGTCCAGTGCATCCTCGAGGACATTGGGAAGTGATGGCGGTATTTCCCTAGACTCGGAGGGCACTTTACTTAGGAAACTAGAACATAGAAGTTTCAATGCTTTGAGATTTCTAATCCAGCTGGTGGGAAATTGTAGTGTCATTATCGCTTTGGGAGCTTATTGTGTCTGGTATTGTGTTTGTTTCCTGTTATTCCTTTGTCTTCTGTCCTCACGTGCATAACTGCAGCTGATCCAGCTCCATTACTTGTTCCCTTGCCGTTTCTTCTGTGCACGTACTGCATCTGAGCATTTGCAAGGACTGGGGGTTTTCCTGTATCAATATACAGATGCAGTTGGGTAAGGGAGGAAGAGAAGTTGTTGACAAGGATTGGAATTTTTTTTTTAAGATTATTTATTTCACATGGCCAAAGAAAGTGATTTTCTTGTCCCCTCTTCTTCTGTCACTAGCCTGGAGCAGGTGTCTATGGGCACATGCCCACACCATAGCTGCAGCAGAAGCTGGCAGAGCACAGCTGAGCTCCTGCCACAGGAAGGCAGGCTTAGAAATATGGGAAATTCCTAAATTGTAGGAAGCGTGTCCAAAAGATACCGGGTGGCCATAAATATGACCAATGTCTACTAGGCTTTTCTGGAATGCCTGAGCCCCTGGGAGACACATATCATAGTGAAGAACATTCAGAAAGAGCTGAAATGATTACCTTCCAGGCATTGGGCTTCTTTACCAAACTCCTCACAGCGCCTTTTATCCTAAAGCTCAGACAACCAGCTGAGCTGATGCCCAAGGCTTCCGAGCTGCGGAACTGCTCCAAGTCCGGAGCAGCCTGATGCGCGTGATGAGCCCCCCTTCCTACTGGCCAGGCGCATAGAAACGAGACTTCAGCGCTGCTGTAAGGAGGACTAAGAGAGAAGACTCAGAGCACAGGGCTGCACGGGATGGCTCCCCCTCGTCTGTCTTCCTTACAAACTCTAGTGCTGTCACAGGATAGGGGGCAGCGTGCAGTGTGGGGACTGCTGATTCGTGTTGCCTGGTCAGCGTTGGCTCAGTGATGGTCAGTGTTCACGTGGGACAGACCTTGGAGGGGTCACTTTTCTGTCAGTCACCCAGCTTCTCTCTGAGCCTCGGTGTGCTCATCCATAAATGGGGATAAACCATCTCTTAGTGTTTTGATGGCGAAATGAGATTACACGTACAAAGTTCTCCGTGTGGTGTCTGGTTCTTACTCCACCAATGTAATAAATGTGAGCTTTTATCATGTTTTCCCCTAGGAGAGACAGCAAGCATTCTACCTTCAAAAACTCAGATTTCAGTGAGTAAAAGGAAGTTCTGGTCTTGACTCAGTCTCAAGATGTGGCTTACCAATCCAAATCTATCCTAAATATTTCTTGCTGTTTAGTTTTTAAGAAGAGGGGCTGTCTTTACCAGGTGTCTGTGCTTTTGGGGGACCACAGTGGAGGGGCTTTTACAGCCCTGTGAATTCACCTCGGTCTGTTGCTGGCCCATTGGGTGGGCCCCGCTTATGCCTGCTGGTCCCACCTCCCCTATGTGTGTGGTCAGGCCCCTTCGCCCCAAGCAGCCATGTACCCAGCTCTGTGCTCTGCTTGCTCAGCCTGTCTTTTCTTTTTCTTTTTTTTTTTTTAAAGATTTTTTTTTAATTGGGGAATTTGGGGGATGGGAACAGTGCTGGGGGATTGGGGAAGGGGAACAGACAAGTTGCTATCGTTTTGTTCTTCAATCTAGTTGTGGAAGACGTTGCTTCACTTGCCCAAGTTGGCACCATCATTGCGCTCTTCCCTGGAGAGGAAGATCAGTCGCTGGCTTCTGGATGGCCGCTCACTGCGGCGGCTGGCCGCTCACGCTGGCTGCTGGCTACACACGGTAGCCCATGGCAACCCACTGCCACAGGGGCTGCAGCCTACGCCGTCGCCAGCGACTCAAGGCAGCCCAGCTCCAGGTTGAGCTGTTGTTCAGCATCTTAGCTGTGGAGGGCAGTGTCACTGGCCCTCATATGTGGGATCCGAACCGGGGCCCTCTGGCATCCCAAGCGAGTTCTTAACCATCGCGCCACTCGGCTGGCCCCTGTCTTTTCTTTTGCATCATGCCTTCTGCTCTGTTCCAGTCCTGCTATTTCCGGTCTTGCTTCCTCTTCCTTCTCTGTGTAATCCCCAGTCTCCTGGGGCCGCTCTGCCATCCACTAGCCCCTCCATCACCACCGTCATCCGCACCCCTCTGCTTATGAAAGGCAGTCAGCTCAATGGCTAAAGGCACAGTCTCCAGAGTGAGGCCACTTGGGTTTGAATTCTACGTTTGCATCCTACCACCACCATTTACTAATGACTATGACCATGGGCAAATCTAGTCTGCCTGAAGCTCAGTTTTCTCATATGTAAAACAGGCATGTACGTAAAAACCCTCGCAGGGCTCTGTGCAGACTAAATGAGCTAATGGGTGTCAGGCCCTTAGCACAGTGCCTGTCACATAGCAAGTGCCCGTGGTGATCATTACCATCCAAGTACATTGCACTTATTATCTCCATCAGTCTTCACAAAACTCCTGCGAGAACCTCCTATCTGACTTCATCTTCTGCTCCTCGCTTACTCCATGCCAGCCATGCGGCGCAGACCCCTGACTGAGGGCCTCTGCACCCGTCCCCGGATATCTGCTTGCTCACCCCTCACCTCTTTCACGTCTTTGCTCAAAGGTCCCCTTCACCACCCTGTTTACAGTCTCAGCCCCTGCCCCCAGCACTTCTCATGTCTCCCCTTCACTCTGCTTTTTGTCTTATCCCTCACCGCCATAGACCTAATCACACGTTAGCAGACTAGGTAATAGTTAGTCATGCTTTTGCTTACTGCCCTCTCTCTGCTAGAATGTCGGCTCCA